TACTTTGAACCCTCCTCTGATGCACAAGCATGCACGCACGCAAGTGAGCATCTAAACCCTGACTGCAACGCAAACAACTGTGAGATGTTCCGACGAAGGCCGTCACCGTCGCGGGCATCCCGCTCTTTGTGTTGGGTCGAGCATATGTTGAAACGGTGCGACCAGTGCTGCTATACAGCGTAGAAATTTTGCCCTTAAGAAAACAGATTGCAGATAGACTGTTGGTGTTTCGAACACCGCGATCTACGCATGATTGCATGAGTCTGGTGCGGAAATCGGAATAAACAATTCCAAGTTGAGGCGCAGAGTTTTTCCGTGGTCACGGAACAAGTTGTCAACCTTTATCGATTGTTTTGGTTTGGGGCATTTGTCGCACATGTCACCAAACAGATTACCACAGGTTTCCGAGGCATATAGTGAATGCAAAAAGTCAAATGTGATCAAACTGAAACCTGTTATGAGGGTATGAAAATCCTGACCAGAAAACTGCTTCATATATGTCACCTCAAGCTCTGCTTTGATAGGGACCTCCGGATCATTGTAATCAATGATTAGAAACACTGAGTGATGCGGCTGAGTATTGAAAACAGTGATGCTTGTGCCTCCTCTCAATTTTGTTTGCAATCTTAGTCAACTGGAATTCTTCCACTTCTCTTCAACTCTACTTTCGGCATTCCGATCATCCTCCTNACAAAAATCACCAACCGGTCATGTTGCATGGTCGGTGTGGTTGCACAGACTGAACAAGTGAACTTCGATTGGCGCAATCAACAAATAATGACTCTCAAAACGTCGCATACGGATTCCATGAGATTCACGGGGCCGGAATTCACATAACAGTTCATTTTAGTGTTGCGAGTTGGGCACATATAGACACGCGCGTGAACGTCTCGATAGAACAAATAACCTCCAAGATCGTGCATGGCTCTTGCCCCTTCTCGTGTCCTGACATACTCACCACAGACACAGGTTGTCTGGTTGATCGTGCAACTAAACAGTCAGACGGGACGGGCTGTTGTTGATCTGATGCACAAATTAGGTCTTTTTAGTAGAGAGAGGACATAGGTCTGGGTAGATTGGAATAGAACTTTGCACATTAAGTGCAGCGGATAAGTCCATATCGACCCAACGAGTTAAAGTATGATCTTTTTTGGTTCGAATCTTTTTGCCATCGACGACTGGGTGATCTCGCTTTGGGGACGGGAATGAGCGAACACCACGGCAACGGAACTCTGCCGGTCGGGCAAATAATGCGAGTCTGGATAAGATGCGATCGATAAAGCACGAGCCGAAATTAGGTTCTAAGTGCGGTCAAGAGCTGTCCAATAGACTGTCCCAGTCTAGGTCCTAAATAATAAAATTTGAAATTCCCATGATAACTTGGGAAAAAGAGTCGGCGAACGAACAATTGTTTTTGGATATTCCTAGTCATACTATTTTAAGTGCGTCTGTGGCGCATTTTACATAGGTCGTACGGTACGGCGTTAAGGTAAGCATTAAGGAGCACCATCCGCGATGGGTAAGTCAGGCAAAAACCGGCTGTATCTCAAGCGCGATCGTGGGTGATCTCGAAGACACAAGATCGAACGGGAGAAAGCTTTCGATGACGTTTATCGCATACCACTCAATCGCTCGAGGGCAGCCCGAGTTTGGACAGTAGCTATGATCGAGGCGGTCGCATTTGCTTGTCAGACCCCAACCCGTGCACCCCAAAAAAACTGCTTCAAGTGATACAATTGCCTTGAGCGGATATGAAAACCAACACAGAAATCTGATTTGTGACTTCACCCAAGTGGGAGAAGGCCACATCAACTAACACGCGAAATATACATACACAAAGACATACACAAACGTACAAAAACAGACACACAAACACACATATACACATCCGCTAATCTCCATCATCGAAGTGATGAACTTAAATTGAGCGAATGCATCTCAACATGTAAGAAATTTAACCGATTGAAATGTAACACAATGACTAGCATTATCCGGAAAACAATATCTTACTCAGCGACTCGACATCCACAATAGAAATTCGGTGTGCAANTGCAATGGGTAAAGGGTACACAAAAAACCAAGCTCTGTGCATGAACGAAATGCACAACAGACGTCATCATAACCCAGCGCCAATCGAGAAATATAAAAAAAGGAAAGGAGAAAGCGACCAACCACCCAAAACCAAACGCGGGCGGTTGCACGTGACTGGCAGAGTGAAAAGGAAAGATGGAGAGTTGGGGGGATTAGTTTAAGCACATATCGGATCTCGCTATGTAGACTGGATT